CATTCTGTAGTAATCGATTGCAATCCTCATATTATAAAAACCTCTGTTTAAATAGTTATTTATATAGATTTCACAATAAACGACACATAAAAGAACTATTGTTGGTAGTTTAAAAATTTATTCAAAACCTGTTTTTGACGGGATGATTTTTCGAAAGAAGTAGTAATAAGAACATATGAATTATTCTAGAAAAAGGAATTCAACGGTAATCTACTGATTACAGCTGAAAATAAAGTTTAAAATTCAAAGGCCTACTATTAAAAATAATCTACTTCATCTCTTCTCCCTTGAAATCCTAAAAACACGGAGTAACTGAACCCCACTTTTTTATCAATCGTACCTTGAAAGCTATAACAATATTATACATTCTGACAGATAAAATCATTTAATACGTGTTATATATTAATGTGTATTAATGTCTCATTGAAAGACATTAATACACATTAATAACTAATACATTAATACACATTAATACACATTAACTCCGAAGTTCTATTCTTCATATGTCCATAACTTTTAACTGTGTAAATGTTTTTTTTTGCTAACACCACTCTATGAAAGTAGTTGAATAACAACAAACGCGGCACAGTTTCTATCAAACTAGTTTCCACTAAGTTCTGCTATTGTTTTAACGGTACAGCGAACAATTGAAACCATCAATATTAAACGGTGTATATATCACGAATTGATCAGTTTACGTCATATATTATCACGCTATTTGAACTCCAGAACAATTCAACTTTGACCATAATTTATGTACGCCGTTGGATTCCAGTAAACTTAATTCCCTGTAGGATATTATAGTTTATAACAGCTACGAGTGTACACATATGAATTATGACGCAAACTTTATCACCGAGACTTTGACAATATTTAAAATTTATAAATGAGTAAGTGGTTTAGTGAAAATTGTGTATTAATAAAAACTGTAATAGTATTATGAAGATGATTATAACGAAAATACAAATAAATAGATAAAAATAAATTGTAACAAAAAAGTAGTAATCAAAAAGGATTTTTAAAAAAATGCTGACATCACTAAAGTGTGGTTACACAAACCACCACGAATCAGGAACCTCAGACGAATACTGCTGATGTTTCTCTACCGACCTCTAAACGAAGGTCGGTCATATTTCTTATCAGTGCCATAAATTACACCATAGCTTGGGCACACCTTTTATTTTCTGCTTTCTTCTATTAAATTGTTTACTCACGTTAAACGCGTTAGGGAAGATATTAAAAATCAGATCATTATAATTTAGTGTCTCATATTTTATGTTTAAAAACAATAAACATCAGCTATTAAAAAAATTAAAAAATTATCGTCTGTAAAATGTAAGTTATTCAAAATGTAATGATATATTTTTTTCAGAAAAGGTCAAGCGTTTATCTGAGATTTTTTTCTAAACACGCTTCCTTTCTCAAAAGGGCTCTTCGTTCACTCCTTTCATGTTTTATAACTGTGAATTATTTTCTGACGATCAATAAAATATTAAATTATTAAGAACCAAAGCATTTTTTATATTACATTAGGTACTTTATTTATTAAATATAATATAATGTCTGAAAAAACATTAACTTTACTCCAAACTTCGCGTATATCTGAATTAATTTGAAACAAAAGCATACCATGCAGTTGGCAGAAAAATATAGTTTCCATCGTACTAGTTATAGGTAAATCTTCGTCAAACATTTACATGAAACTTTGTGTTTCATTCAATAACTGTGGGACCCGAATAAAAGTCTTTTAATTAAATGTGGAATGTGATTCAGAATCACCCTGTTGTGAGTAGGGTGGCGCTGAGTTATATTAGTCAGATTCTATCAAACAATAGAATACTTTTTGACCTTTTGGGATGATTAACTTACAGATATAGTAATTTACCATTAGGTAAATTGTTGTCATATAGCTAGTTTCTATGAAGTAGAACGCTATACTACTGAAAATGAACTGAAAATAAAACGAGTTTTTCTATATCTTGGCAAATGCCCTGACTAACAACTTGTATGTTTTTATAAGAATATGAATAGTACAGAATATAAAAAAAAATTATCTCTAAAGCGTAAAAAAAATTCTGATCATAAAATCAAGCTAACTTAAATTGATTTTTCTAGTACTTAATTAAAATTGATAAAATATTTTTTTATATATAATTATTTTCAGTGTATATGATTCATAATTACGTCACAAATTATTATTTATTAATTTGAGAGTTATATTATTTTATACCTTTTTTTAATATTTTAATTGATCAATAGAATATGGTTATCTGCAATACGACTAGATTCTTAAAAAAAATATATAATAATTGTAAATCGTTGTCACTCTACTTCAATGACGCAATGTTAGCCAACACGGAACGGAATTTTGAAAACTATTCTGGTACGGCTCGTCCAACGTTCGGCTAACTGTGAAATTAAAATAAAGTTCACAAAAACTGATATCCGTACATCGGATTCTTTTACATTTAGAAGCATTTTGAACTCGCTCCCAAATGTTGTTATCAAAAATTATAAAACTGTGAAAGTTTGTATGAAAGAATATGAAAAATAAAAATGTGTATGAAATTTTGAATAATTAGAAACTCAGCTAATTTCTTACGAAATGCCACAATGTAAAATATATGATCGTGAGCATGACGGGGACTATAGATTATATATATTACATTATATTTCTAAGAATACCTCTAACGATTGCAGGAACTTCGATAAATATATGTAGTAACAACCCCTTTTCTTCTTGTTACTACAGGTATGTCAAAGAATGATCGTACTCAGGAAAGACTTGCAGATATTATGAGACTGTCCGATAACTAACTAACCCATTAATAGTTCAATAGTTTTGTATTGTTCCTAATAAAAATAATCCAGAATCATACAAGTAGTAATTATATTTATTTTCCTAAAAATTATTTAGGACATCTTTCAAGGTTAATGTCGTTATGAAAGTACATTATTATAAATGAAATAACTACAGTGTTGTAATAAAAAGTATTTCATAAAACGTGGAAATAATCTTTTTGTCAAACTAGAAATATGGAAGATAATCAAGGTCTCAATATATGTAGATTGTAAGAGAATACTTTGCAAGACAGCAACATAGAATGAGGACAAAATCATATTAGAAACCTTTCCTTTCTACAAACTAAAACCTTACAACTGATTGAATAAATTAAATACTCCTATATAAATTCAGGGTTTCATTAAGTTGAAAGGATCTTACTTATTTATTAATAAAACTTCCGTCCCATCCTTTGATCTTTTATAAAATAAATATGAATATAAAGACAAAACACGTGTCATTTTTATCTGTGTTTTTTTTATTAAATTGTGATATTGCTATTAAAAACTTTGTCGAATTAAGTATCTTAACTTCTGTATGTTAAATATTGTGATATATATGTATAATATACGATCCTATTTTTGGGAGACTTGTTATATTAGTAACACCTTTTTAAACCTTCTCCGAGGCCAAAGAAGCATATTGTCTTTCGAAAATTTTAAGATAAAAATTGCGAATTTCTGAAAACTCTATCATTAATACTTCTTTAAAAAAAAGCCAATAACTATATCACTAACAAGCAGACGAAATCTTTTTTTAATTAATTTAGGTCAGATACCTTTCAAGGTTTATTATTACAATATTAAAAAAATATATACACTTATCCTCAGATATAAAACTATAGGTACTATATTTATTGAAAAATAAATATTACTCGGACAACGATTTGTAAAACCTTTAAAGAAATCTGAACTTATATGATAAAGTGTTTGTCAATTTCATAGACTGTCAAAACTAATCGAATAATTGTATTTATTTGTTCAAGTGACCCATCTATTACTTGGGTTTAGGATCCTGTTAACCCTTATACGTTCAAAACAAGGATCCCAAATCCAATGGAGATATCCAATTATAAGACACGAGAAATAGAACAATAGAATACTGAACAAAATATTACCAAAGAAATTTCGATACCGATAGACGCAACGCAATTGTAATAATAAATAGTAAGATGTAACATCTTTAAGATTTAAGAAATTTTCTTTCAAGTATAGAAACTGAAAAATATATGACTTATATTATTAAATTTGTTACAAATTGTGTCCCATCACTCAAACTGAAAGTTTACGCGTAACTTTACTAATTAACTTAAGACATTGAAACTTGGGTAATTTATAACGCATTTCTAATTTATACACAATTCATATTTTACATTAATGTGATGGTGTATTTTAGCTATTTTTTTTATTGTGTACATATAATATGGCCTAATTCTATATATTAAAAACCGAAATGTGTTGCCGATGATATTTCATAAAACAACCAAGCAAATGACAAAATATATCAACAGCTGATCTTCTGTAAATAATTTTTATGAGAGATAAAAACACACAATCAAAAAATATTTAAGCAAAACTATGAATATGTACAATTAAATATTACTAAAGTTCTCCAGGTTGTATAAAATTAAGGAATAAGCATGAATGTATTATAATGATCTTTGACATTTCTATGGCAGAGTTTGTATACACTTCAAAATATTATCTAGTAGATTAACAAGTCATTTGATAACAGTTTATTTGCATTGCCTATTAATTGAGAAAAGTAAAGTCGAAATTTGTAATTGATAATACACGAGGCTTAGTTATATTCCTTTGATTTAGGTCCTTATAATATTTCCAATGTATTTAAGGCTTACATTGGGGTGATATCAGATCTCACAGATTTTTAACCTTTTTTTTTAAATAAATATTTTAAAGTTTGATAACTCCAAAGTTTTGAAGCGATTGAAATAAAAATAATAACAATTTCATTTTGAATAAATGTATATTTTTATTAATGAAAATAATTCTTTGTAATACAACTATAAAATTCCAGATGAAACACAAATCGAATGCAAAAAAATTGATATTATTAAAAACAATGTATAAAACAATAAAAGCAATTCACAATTTGAACCACATTGTCGTTACTAGCTATGATCCGGTCGTCAAAACATTTATTTTCTGTGTTTCGATGGTGAAAGCGAGGGGTTTAAATGTATGCTTGAAGGTGGAATTTTAGGAACCATTCCATCATCATCAGGAGTTGATACAGCACTGGCTGTCATTTTATAAGATGATTCAGGGCCAGGTTTTGAGTCCGACAAATCAAGGCCTGTTTGCTGTTTTGACGGTTCCAAATTAATATCACCAAGGAATAATGGGATTGTGTATTCAGGATCAGGTTGAGAGTCGGTGTTGTACGAAGGTTCTCCTACAGATCGGCCTCTTCGTCTATATATCCGTCTGTGTCGCTGAGCCAAATCGCCAACAACAAACACAAGCAACAGAACGATCACTATCTTAGACATTGTATCTTGAGACTGTTTTTAATAAATCATTGTCAACATTTTATAGTTGTATGTTGAGGAAAATCTTAAAAGTTTACAATAGAATTCACACTATCAAGGGTAACCTCTTGTTATAAGCAAGATCCATATGCATTAATAAATAATTGCATATGGATATTGCTTTCTATGTATATTAACTTATATTTGATTACTTTACCGATTTACTACGTGTTTATGTATTTTTATTATTTATATTATGTTTGTTTTAATACAATTTTACAATAAAGTAAAAAGTCCATTTAAAATTTTGCAACTATTTGTTGCAATTTCATGTATTAATTATTTAAATTACAGAAATAATATTAAATATGATAATTTTCGTTTATAAAGAGATAAAAGCAATTTTTTTATTGAAAACTCGATAATGTTTATAATTAATGTATACATAATTATACATATTTAGGTAATGCATTCTGTCATAATATATTTCAATAATTTGAAGTAATACATCATTTGTATACACGTACAGGAAAAATTGTTCTAGCATACACTCTGTATCATTAAAGCAAGTAATAGATCTATATTGAAAAGAACATGTTCTGTTGTTATTCTGAAGTGACACATATTATTCACCAGTTGTAATGAATTCCAACTCCATTGTATTTTAAATTTTCTTAAAACTATATATTTTAATTCGCTCTGTACACAAATAGTATTGCTTTGTCTACATTTATTAGTAATTATTCAAAGTAAGAATAATATTATCACCTCGTAATAGATTTTTCATTGTAGTCCGTTTTGCAATAACAACTCATTGAAAAAATACTTTTAAATCTGGCTACTTTAAATCATATTCGCGATAAAATAAAACAATTTTTTTTATTTAAAGTACCGATGACGAATGAACAGTGAAAGGTATGAAATAAAAACAATTTAAATTAATTAATAATACGCAGTTGTTAAACAAGTATAGTTGGTTTTGAATATGTGCTACATATGTACTCGTATAACAAATCAATATTGTATATACACTTCACATTTAATTTAAACTATTTCAATATGCTTTTACTAATTATAGCAAGACCTCGTATTCAAATTTATTTTCAAATAGGTATAACTTGTGAAGTAAAAGTTTATAAGGTGTTTATTTTTATTTAAGAATCTTTACTAATTACTCTAATCTTTACTAAATACTCACTCGTAGGCTTCTTGCAAATTAAGTTTAACAAATCCTTAACCCCTAAGCTTTCTATTACACAAAGCATCAAACTTTTAAACGTACCTAAGTTTCACTAAATCTTTTGAAGACGTGGAACATATATTTTATTTTATAAGAAATACTTAACATATCTCTTTGAAGTGAATATTTTTTCTTGACGCTTATGTAAATACAAAGTACAAATGTTTATCGGTCTTTTTATAATAGTATATCAAAACTATCATTTACTGAACTTTGAGATATGTCTATCCAAACCTACCATGCTGTTCTCATTGACGAAATCATAAAAGTCATAATTACACATCGCTGGCTATTAGAGGTAAGTCTGTGAGTAAAACAATAAGTGATATTTTTCGGAGTATTTTAAAAGAATTGCTTAATATATTGTAATTTTGTTAAATATAATATTCCAGCTTGAGTCATTATAGTCCTTGTACTATTCTTAGCTTCTATTCATATAGATACTATATTTATATATTTAATACCGTCTATGACGTTTTATTCTTGTCTAATCTATGTCTAATGTTCTTGAGATTACGATGCTTAAACAAGTACAGAAATCCTTGTGGGACTTCCCAGAATAGGTAATATTTTATTAACAGCTTTTTAATTCACAAAATAATTCGATAAGACATACATTGGTAAAATATAAAACCATAATAGAATCATAGATGTATGATTTTAATACAATTATTTGAATTAAAGCTGACGACAAAATTACTTACAATATTCCATATGAGATAAAGGCAAATAAATATCAGTAGGATATTTATTAATTTACTAGAACGTTGTAGTAAGCTATTAGATGAAAATTAATATTAGTTTCTTTACTAACTACTGCCATAATTATTTAAACTTATAAAAGTTATTACATGAGAATGAATTGCTTTTTTAAAATACCCGAAAAACATCTTAAATTATTTAAAATCTTAGTTTACATAATATATTTGTTACAATAGAAACATAAAATCAATAAATATATAATCAATAAATAATCAATCAATAAAAAACATAAAATCAATAAATATATTTAAAGAAGTTGAATGGAATGCATTCCTGAATTTCTGGCTGCAAATTTCACATTAGTGTAGATACATTGTGTTGTCATGAATACTATAAATCCTTTTTATGAATAATAATGTTTCAAACAAAAATCAATATAAAACATACAACACGATTACTTTATTAAAATATATATATAAGAAAGAGGTGTTGGTTACACTATTTATAACTCAAGAACGGCTGTAGGGATATGATTGAAAATTAGTGGAAATATAGCTTAGAACCAGGAGACGGACATGGGTTATTTACTTCTGTTCGAACTAAAGAGACAAAAAAACCTCAATAAATACCAATATCTCGTTATTTAGGCCTCTGGGCGAAATAGAGTTCGCCCGGTCAGTTATACATATATTACTAATTCCGAAATTAATGAGGACGAAGTCGCGGGCAATAACTAGTTACATATAAAACCAAATTTTCATAGTTATATCTACTTATGTGTCATGAAAATTTGTAGTCTTAATTTTTTTAACTATAGTTATAGAAAAACATTACTGCTAATTGAAATACATAATATACTTTTATCTATAAATTACTTTACAACTATTTGGCCTTTAACATATAAATTATATTTTTTTCAAGTATTTTGTAATCTATATAAACTGTATCGGTGGAAGATTTGAAGCGTTGCTGATATTTTATTAATTCACGAAACTCAAAGGACAGAGGACATAAAAGGTGTTCAGATTGCTTTTGAAAATTGTAGATACCGAAAAATACCCGAGTTTTCAAGAAAGTGTGATTATTTCTTATTAATGAGCCATTTTGTAGATTCTTCAATTTTTGGGTTTAAAGTTATATATTTTTCCGATTTTGGACATTACATTCATATAAATACTATTGGGATATCATTGTTTAAGTAAAAAATATAAGTTAAAATAAAAACTGACACTGTTAATTTAACTGTGAAAAAAGTTAATATTCCAGGCGTTTAATTGTGAAATAATAATATTATACATATAGATTAGAACAATTTACAAAGGATTATTTACACTTAAATTTATTAAAAATAGTCTAATAGGTGAAGGAAAACATCGTGAGGAAACCTGAACTTTTAATTTCAAATTATAAGTTTGAAATCACCAACCCGTCTTGAGTAAGCGTGGTGATTAATGCTTCACCATGTGAGAAAGAGGTCTTTGCTCAGCAGTGGGCTCTGATAGGCTGATGATTTAATCTGAATCTAATAACCCACATTTACAAAATAAGTTTCCCTAATTTAAATTTAAAGATATTTGCAAAAAAAATAAGTTATTAAAATGCAAATGGTTAAAAAAGGCATCAGTAAATTAAGACCTGCCAATAATAGTACTTTCAATGAAGATTATTCTAGTATGTAACAAAACCCTTGTCTTTTATGAAGAAGCATAACTTACTTGAAAGTTGGAGGAGATAGATTTAAAAACAAAAGGTATAAGTGAAGTTAAAGTATGCAAAATAAAGCTGATATGAGAACACTCTAATATGCATAAGTTATCAACTGTTATCGTTAATGTACTTAGAGGGTAATAATTAACACTTGATAGGCATAGTCTTAGTGTTGCTAGCCATCCAATCACTAGCAAACTATACTTAACGACTATTCTTTATTTTACTGTTGTATTTGGTGATTGGGATGACTGATGTGTTGCTAGGGTGATCTCTCATGCTAGTATAGAAAAATAAATGTACCGTACCCATTTTAGTTATATAATTTCATAGTTACACAGATTAAAATTTGTTAATCCAAAATATGATATAATTCACCGATAAATAAGCACAACGTGTTCTCTTTATATTTACGGGATTGATTAAGGATGTCTGCACAAAGAGACAGACCCTACACTCACGTCCATATTATGGTAATAAAACTGCGTATTTGGAACGAACTTACGTCTACAGAAAACGAGTCTAAGTCCCTTATCTATACAAGTCTTTAGCGATAAGACTGGAAAACTATAAGTCTGCAATGGCTGCATTTACGATAACAAAGCGATATTTTTGAAAATTGCCGCATATAAAAAAATACAGAAGAAACAGAATGTAGATAGCTTTCATTTGAAGAGTGATTTTAAAGGTTTTTATTAAAAAATATCATACAATTTGAGCCGTCGGCTGCGGACTGGAGGACGGCCAACGGCTTTGCCAATTCCACCCGAAACCGGGATTTAGTGCCACATTTATAAATAAAAATATATTCCGCACCCTACACAGAACCCACGCTATACATAATATATTCGTTTCAGGTAAAAACTTCGCCTCTTTGTATATAACACGTAGGAAAACCCAATTTTTTCGTATGTTTACACTTTTCTTCAGAATAATTAGAACAAAATTTTCCTTAACTTAAAATTTTAACCTTTATATTATGGTTACAGTCTTCAAATATTAGTTACCGCTAGAATATTTTCCACATTTTCAGAATTCAAATAGTATGTCAGTCGCAGCAAATAAAATTAAATTAAATTTATTGGATATTCTTTGACAGTATTCTTATTCCTTAGATATTATCAGCTCGAGAACCTTTTCTTATCGAAGTAGGTTACAGTGTCACTCTTCAATTATTTATATGTAAATAAAATGCAGCCAGACGTACAATGAATTATTTTGTTATTATTAAGAATACCTGGTTTTTACATTTAAAATATTTGAGTCTCATTAGATGGTACAAATTTAAGAGTTTTTTTTAATATTGTATTTAATATAATTGCTTTTAAGTGAAGCTCTTTACAATTGTGTGCTTTCAAAGAACCTGAAAGAA